AGAGAGAAGAACCATCGACTGACTAGCTTCCCTACAGTGGGCTTTCACCTGCCTCCTGTGTCATTTCACCTCTCCGATTCGAGCAAAGAATAAGATTGTTATTTGCATTTTTTGTATTTTTAATATATTTTTTGTTCGTTGAAGTTTCCCTAGCAGTTTGATAGCTTTTGTGGTGCAGGGTCGTCAGCCCCACGCCCAACCCTCCCTCTTTACGCAGTCTTGGGACCGGCTAGAAAAATAGCGAGCTAGTTAACTAGGGAAGGTTCCATATTTTGATAGGTTATGTCAAACATGTGACTTTAACTTCCATCTCTCGTCATCTTAATTTTTGGACAACACTGGTAACAAATAGGTCAACTAATTTAATGCTTCATTTTGCATTCAACTATCAGTTCACTTCAAAAATTCTAATAGTGAGAATTTCATAAATGCATAAGTGATTGCTACACTTTTTAGACACTAAAGGATGGTGACAGGGATGCAAACACAAGTATATATCTTCCAGCTCCACAAATCCTTGTTCTGCCTAGGCTGCAGCCAAACCGAAACAACAAATATGAAACATATTTTGGGATAAGTAATGTAAAGTTGTCATGGTTACTTAACATGTACGAACAACAGAAGCTAACACGACAGAGTACTAAATGGTTTGGATGCTTGATCGCATATCATCAGCTTAACCAGTGGAAGTCAAGGATCTAATGTTGATTAATTAAAGCTATAGGGTAATAGTTTTGGAGAATCATTTTCCGCTACAATCATCACATCATGTACTACGTATAGTGTGATACACTGGTAGTGCAGTTGTAAGATCCTTTGTTCCGTCTTGTTTGATGTCAGTGTCACACCACACACTAGTGAGGACGAATTGGCTATTCATTTGGTTCATTGCTGAGTAGTGATTCTATTCTAACAAACCCGATAAATGTTTATTATAAACTGCTGACCTGTAGCCTCATTTATCTGACTAATTAGGTGGACTGAGATTAGCGGGTGTAAATCACTTATCAGAATGTGTTTTCAGGTGATTGGGGCTGAAGAATACAGGCCCGTCGGTGTTAACACATAGCAGTGTTAGCGATGTATGCTTAGCATTATTTGAACTGATTTCATATTGTAACAGACGATATTACTGATGAGAAAGCTTTTAATGCAAATAAATCAGACAATATGCCTCTCTGTGTTGCTCAGAGACTGTGCAGTTGAAATTAATCTATTCATGAGGTAAACTGCTTTCGATTAAATCAATTATCTGAAAACTAATTAGGCGTCTGGTAAATATACACACTTCGTGTACAATGTTATGAAATATGGATGAGATGAATATATGAACTCGTTTTGAATGCAGCATATATGTGTAATTTATGCAAACATTCTTCACCTACTCTATATTGCTTATGTATATATGTCTTTTTATAAAAATGTATGTATGACTTATTATCATAATTTGTTTCGAATAATAATGACTACAATAATACTGTAATGTGCATGTTTTCAGTCAGAACGGGTCAAATACAATACAGATTAAACATATTTTGAGACTAAATTATTAATTTATTGCACACATAGGTGAATTACACTTTCAATGCTTAATTCAGTGAAAATGAATGTTAATATTTTCTTTACATAACAGTAAGCCTTATTATAAAACTGCGTCACGTAAAACTTGGCCAGAAATAAACAATAAATTCAAGTTATACATATGTGTATATGAGTAAATAGTTTGAAGAGTGTCGCTTGGGAGTACATATACGAATTCGTATATGGAAAAGCACGAGGAAATTTTCAGTAATGTACTTAAAAGTATGGATGGAAGTTGCTATGCTTGCCTAGACGATTATTTTTCTAAAGAAATCAGAGAAACCCTTACATTACATATGCATAAACAAGGATAATCAGTACAAGAGAAAAATGTGAATATACACTAAATATATTCATCTACATGTATGACGATCAACAAATACAAGGAAAGAGTACTCCAGCTTATGTACGCTTAAAGGCTCATGTCACACAAATTTTGAGAGTTTGATATCAGTATTGACAATTAAAAGCTTGTAAAATTTATATGAGTGAAAGAAGCAAGTGTTTTAACGCTCAATTTCATTAATGAGAAAAGAATCGCTGAATAGTTGTATTGCTTTTTGACTATGATTAAAAGTCAGGTAATCTTGTATTCTGCTTCAAGAAAAATAAAAAAGTCACGTCATCTTTGAGAAAGTAAAATATGGTCTGGATGTAAGATTCTACACGGAATAAGCTTTATTCAGTTAACACGAATCATGTGAAGACTAAATTGTAATGTAGCACATGCTCATCATCAAGTAGAGCATAGGTGGCAGTCAACTTCCTAGCTCAATTTCATCCACTTTGAAAAGCCTACAACAGCATCGACCGTGAAGTAATTTGACAACTGCTTCAACACTACGGAGTGTAGTGCCACAAACTTGATTCAACAAAATATGATGATGCCAAATGATTTACACTTCGCCGATGATATATGTCTGATTTCCCACAAACTGGAAGATATGCAAGTGAAAAGCAACAAGTTGGCAGAAGAAGCATCCAGAGAAGATAGGACTTCAGGTGAACATAGAGAAAACAGAGGTGATGAAGATTCCTGGCCAACACCACCAACAGCAACAACAACAGACAACAATCAGAATAAATGGGAGGAACCTGAAAGAAACAACCTCCTTTACCTACCTGGGAAGCATCGTTTCAACTACAGGTGGAACTGACGAGGATATCAAAGCAAGAATCGGAAAAGCAAGGCAAGCTTTCACTACTCTCAAGCCTGTGTGGAGGTCAACAGCACTCAGCATGAAAAATAAAGTCCGGATTTTCAACTCCAATGTGAAGTCAGTCAGTGCTACTATACGGATGGATCAGAGACTTGCACTGCGCGTCAAAAAGAGCATCTCAAACAAACTACACACCTTCATTAACAGTTGTCTCCGCTCAATTCTACTCAAGATCAGATGGCCAGCCAGAAAAGATCATCAACAGAGAGCTCTGGGAGCGAACCAACCACGAACCGATTGTGAAACAAATAGGCAGGAAGAAATGGAGACGGATTGGCCATACTCTGAGGAAACCATCAAGTGACATCACTAGACAAGCCATTGCTCGAGTGGAACCCGAAAGGGAAGCGGTGAGTTGGTCGTCAGTGCGAGGGTGACTTGGAGGAGGTCATGTGAAGAGGAGATGAAAACGTGTGGGCAGACTTGGAGCCAGGTGATGACTCTAGCAGAGAACCGAACGCAATGGAGACGCGCAGCTGAAGCCCTATATTTCTCTAGGAATTAAAGGAAACCATAATAATAATAAATGATTTACATTGGAGAGCACAGTGAAGTCAAGAGAAGTGTAAGACAAAACTGTCACGAATGATATTCCTGATTGTGGTAGACTGGGTCATACAACAGATCATTAGGAGCAAGGAGATAGGAATAGGTCACACGGACAAGAAGGCTGTAGATAATCTGGACTCCGCGAGATTGTATGTCGTGTCACACAAACTAGAACATCTACAGGCAAAAACCAACAAGCTGGTTGGACTACAAGTGAATATATAGAAGGCAGAGGTGGGAGACATCCGAGTTATGTTGTCTATTTCACTTATCCGGATAGGTAACATAGTTTCAACTACAGGAGGTAAGGATGGGGCTATCAAAAGCAGGATTGGAAAGGCAAGATAGACCTTAATTACTCTGAAGTCAGTTTGGAAATCTTCTACACTCAGCATAAAGAACATGATTCGTATTTTCAACACTAAGGTCAAATTAGTTCCTCTATATAGTACAGGGATTCAGAATATCAGTAAAAACACATCGAATAGGCTTCAGACTTTTATCGGCAGCTACCTTCACCCAGTAGTAAAGATCAGATGGCTAGAAAGGATAAGAAACAAAGAACTCTGGCAACGTCACATAACAAATATGCCGAAGAAAGTGGAGATGGATCGAACATAGGCTGGGGGAACCGTGGAGTGGCACCAGGTGCTAAATTAGGTGCCGAATGGGAAACGACGAGTTAGGCGTCCGAGGGTGACATGGAGGAGATCATGTGGAAAAAGATGCGAGTCAACTGAAAGTGACTGCAGAGAACCAAGGGGAATAGAGACGTGCTGCTGAAGACCTATATTCCACTAGGAACTTCAGGGGAATAATAATAAAATTCTCGCATGAAGCTCAAGAATACACATAAATAACTGAAATAAATTCAAATTAACTTCCATCTTGTGAGTAAAAGAAAGAATGTTATCTCTTTATTTTAATATTTGTCTATACACTTATAAAATTCCAAAGACAATAAATACAGTTCTCAACACGTTGGTTTATAATGCATGATGCAATATATTACTGTTTAAAATGGTTGGTTGGATACCATTCACATCACACAGCAGTGTATGCTAACCAGATCAAATTGATCTAAAACACCGATGGATATTTCATTAACCATCATCATCATCATCAGCAGCAGCAGGAACAATTCATCCGGTTTGGCTCAGCTAACAGAGCCGAATCACTTCAAACTAAACGAATTGTGGCTAGAGACTTGACGCAAACGAATGGAATTCGCAAGTTAATTCAAGATTTGCAACTTTTTCCCCATGAAGAATCTAATTCAAGTAGTAGAACCGCAAAACGTTAAGAAGAGTTTATCTGAAGAATAATACACCTTATGTTAGTTCAGATAACATATACAGCTTAGTAAAAACTTATGGGAAATTTAGATTCTACTCTAGACATACCCCGCCAATTTGCAGCAAATCTGATATCCTTAGTCAGTACGATTGGTTGTGCACACTAAATGATGGGAAATTTAGAAAATTATATACCACAGTCTGCCTAGTTAATACACATGGGGTTTTGTATATTATAATGAGTAGGGCAGATATCTAGGGCAGATATCTAATGTATAATGACTAACAGTATAATCACAAAACAATCTGCCTTCAGGAATCCCCAGCATCAACACAACTGAAAGAATTCATATACCGACAGAAAGGCATCAAGTTACTTTTCAGTTAACTGGGAAATATATATATATATTTATATATATGCATCAGAAATGTATTATACAGGATAATAAGTTCAGGAGTTCGTGAGAACTACCTGACAATGACGAAAACAACAACAACAAGAACAAAAATAAACAAAGAGAAAAAATTTTCAACTGAAAAACTAACTGGTAGGTTAAAGAAGTGATAAATAACCATACTGAAGTGTTGATAGTAATATGAGTGGTAATCATAAGAATAATAATATTAATAATAATGACAGAGTAATAATAAATACATCATTCATACCATTTTTATATACACTTTAATGAAGAGAAAACCTTAACTAGTTGAACAATTAGATATAGGCCAAAAATCGACCGAAGGATAAAATTTCAATTCACAGGCGTTACTTTCTCCCTTGCATACAGAGGTTTCACTTGATTGATTGTTGTAAAGTGTTGTTTCTTTTTATTTGCGTTGGTGAATATGTTGTTCAGCAGGCGCTTGTATATTGCACAGCTTATACAGACATGAATATTATTATTATTATTATTATCAACTGCAACACATGTGGATTATGATGACTGTTGTACAGACGACTGTGATGATGATGATGATAATAATAATAATAATAACAATGACAGAGTAACAAGGTTAGGATAAAACCAGGTATGATGCTTTGAATATAACCATTTTTATATTACAAACGATGCGCGAAAGAACCAGGAGCGAAAAATCTCATGTCAGTAAGAATTCATGATCGAAGAAGAAGAAGAAGGGAGGGGGGAGACAAAAGAAGAAAGCCGATAGATAATGTGGTGGTGAGGAAGAAAGGCTTCTATTTTTCTGAGTCAACAGTCACAAAAATAGTTTTTTTTCATATAATCAGTCCTATATCATCACAGATATATATATATATTCTGGAGGGGGGGGGAAGGTGGCGAAAGTAGACAGTCGCATTAGTATGAAGAGACATAATTTATAAAATAGAGAAATATGCATGTTGACAGAAAAGAGTCATCAGTGATGTGGAATGATATCACAGTGTGTTAAATTCTATTACAACTTATTTGTTGGAGAATAATAAACAGAGAGAGAGAGAGAGAGACAAAACCAATGAGTGAGTGACCGAAAAGAGGAAAACAAAGATATATATGCAGTCATCTAAAGATCATAAATTCATATTTGTCGAGGAATTATTATTAGCATCCTTTTCGAATTCAGCCATAGCATCATTGAGTTCAACAAATACCAAGCGGGCCATATTCTCATAAGATGTACCCATCCACTGTAAGAAAGAAGACAGAAACGCAAAAAAAAAAATATATATATATATATTGTATATTATATTAAAACATTTCAATGGTTGAATACAGCTAAAAATTTATATCAGTTTACGTTAATAAAAGTCTTCATAGTTCGATGACTGAAGTATTTATTCATCTATTATTGAGAAGAGTTTAAGTACTAAACCAATTTTTATCGAACACTAGTGCATATTTTTTGAAACTAGATGCCAAAGAAGAACAAATTTGGGTTAGTTTTAGATAAGATTGAGATTGATAGCGCTCACAAATGGATGATTTAGGCATAGTTGTGTTCTCTGAGCTGATTGATTGATTTAGTATCGAAGCTTTCACTGTCTTTCTACACAATATCTTCAGAGCATGGTTCAAATTGAAGTAATATGGTGAAATTAATACTCTTCATTCATAAATATTAGTTACAAAACATAAATTTAAGACTCTTTGTCAAACATGATTATAATGCATAAAAGTTATGTTCAAGTAAGCTAACCTTGTCAGGATGAACTGCACGCGCAGCATTCCGATACTGACGTTTAACTTGATCACGGGTTATAAGATCAGCCATACCCACATGATTCCAACGTACTCCATCCCATAATATTGTAGGAAGGGAACATAATAACGCTCTAAGATTGCGGTCTTTACCTTCAGCCCAGTCAAAAACCTAAAAGAAAAGAATTAGCATGTCAGAGAAACGCTTGCCACCGAAATCCCCAAATGGTATTTTGTGCTAGAAGAACTAGTGTAATCATAAGGCCATTTTAAAATGTTTCCACTTTCATTTACCATAAAGAAACAGAACAAAAAAGAAGTACACAAATATTTAACTAAAGTAGTACATCCGAATTCAAAACAGAATTGAATTCTCTCTCAGACACGCTTTCCAGAAGGATCCTAAAACTGGTCTAATATTGTATCACTAGCGTTCTCTTTAAGTAAATAACTTATCAGATGAAATACTTAATCTGAAAGCTAAGAACCAAAGAAAACAGGTTTTACCCTTGCCTCTGACTCACCAGCAGAACATGCCCTTGACTCGATTCACAATCGAAATCAAGGCACATCATGTTTGAAAACGAGTGTTATTATAGGTGGTAATCGAGTGGCACACGTTTTTCTACTTTTAACAACCCAACCTGAGCTACAAACTTGCAGTACTACAAAAAAAATTTATGTACCATACATAGTTCTCAACTACTTATTGCCATGGTAGAATTGCTGATTGCAAGAGGCAAACAAAGGGAATGTGAAGGAATGTCAGCCTACGAGTATCCCCAATTCCAACCTGAGATTAAGCCTAAGACTTATATAATATAGAAGCGATACTATAATTTTCCTCAAAGTGAACGTGTTAGGACTAATTCGCGGTTGAAAAACAACTGACTAATTTACAAAAGTGGTGATTCGGGAATACTGAATAGTATAAGCAATACATTCTATAATTGTGCTAATCAGGCTGATATATCATTCAGATGAATAAAACATTGTCTTCAAATAGAATCATTTCAAATTAACACAAAATGTCTCGAAAAGAATCTTGCAAACTTGAAATATGTTCACCTATTTCTATGTATGCAATTCTAACACAACAAGTTTACTCACGGTTTAGCCAACAGGCGATTGCATTATCACTAGAAATCAAACTCATAATGGCAGCAAGAAACAAGGAGGACATCACCCATATTAATTTTCGACAGAGTTAATATCAATCCACAGAGTTCATGGTATAATTTCATTAAGTCACAAACGCGCAAAGCTTATCATTTCTGTGCATGACCAGTTTAAATATTATGTGGAGATGTAGCTCACTGGTTCAAGCAATCAACTGTCAGTCTATGGGGTTCATGATGCAGACTTAGCACCGTCTACTTTAACCTGGCCAACTGGGTATTACCGTCAACCTTCGTACAATAACTGCGTGGTTTATAACTTGGTAAATGAACACTCTGTTCCGAAAAACTGAGTTCTAAATGTTTGAGTACGTCATTAAGAGATAAAGTGAACTATTAACCTCAACACGTTGAAATAACTTCAAATCACAGTCAAAATATCAAATACTAATTAATGATCATTAAAAAGACAATCTAGTAATGTGAAAAGATTTAGCATTACTTTCAACTGTTCTGGATCAGTGGTTTTAGCCATCTTTTCACGACGAATTTGATTGACTGTTTTTGGTTGTTTATCATCTGCATTAGTTGTTCGAGAAGAACCAAATCCACCGAGTAGATCAGAAAAAGCATCTTTGTTAACTTGAGGTCTAGCTCCCGTCCCAGCACTTGGAAATGAGGATGTTGAGGTATTTGTAAAACCTGACCACGAAGTATGAGCTTGGCTGGACTTCTCATGAGTATAACCAGTGTTAGTAGTATTGTCTTTTTGGTTAGCATCTGATTTTGTTGATGAGTTTGTAAATTTCGGGTCAATGCCAGCTGACAGGCAGAAAATTTGAACGATTAGTGTACTGTAAACCACATAAAGTATTACATAGGGATAAAATGACTGATATCCTAAAATATGAGAAGAACTAAGTACTTATTAGTTCGAACCCGTGTGATTTTAACGATTAGGGACTTCAAACAGCAGACAGCTAGGTTCACGTTCATTTGATTTTGGTTCTTTTTAATTATTTACTCAATTTAATAGATTTCTTTACATCACTAAGTAAGAAAACCGACGGTCTACTTAAAACTTGGGCTACCGAAAACCTCCATTAATATATTGCATATAATTTTTTCATATTCAATTTGTCTAAATTCAGTAAAATATGACCTCTGATAGTAATATTTACTATGGCGAGCATTTAAAATGTTTACTATCTGCTGATTCGCAGTTTTCTACTAAACTTCAGAAAAGGCATTATCCTGAACGGCAGTTTAATCCAATAGATGAGATAACTGTTTTTGGGTTGTGTTCTTGGTTCAAAAAATGTACTCCTGAACTTTTTATATTTGATATTCAACCAAATGTTGTAAATCTCTCGAAGCAGACAAAGGAAAGATAAGTTTGCGCTTCAGACCAGATAGAACTGTGTCTCACGATCTACTGACAATTAATATTTTATTTGAAGATCCTAGACAAAAAGGAAATAGCATGCAATTAACTCCGCTAGAAATTCTGTACATTACATAAACACTGTTCGGAATAAAGCTGTTATTATTACTGCAAATTCAGTGTTGCAGATGCTTAATAATAGTTAATAATGTGACGAAAGTTTTTCCACAGTAATTTTAGTGCATTTGGGTATAAGTAATATTCAATGTATTCCCACAAATTTGCAAAGATTTCAAGTTACCGTTCATGAGAAATAAACTAGACATCCTCAACTTTGCAGCAGTGTAAGTGTCACTTTTAATGCGGCAAATTATTCATTGTTGTATAGTAAAGAATATGTAGTCTACAAGAAATCGAGACTCCTTAACCTCCTTTAAACAATACTCACTGAAAAAGTGAAAATACCCTGATTAGTCGGAGAATAATTGCCTTACTTTACAAAATCAGTAGTACAAAGAGAGTATAATAAGGTTGTAGTACAGCTGGTTTCTCTTATGAAATTTCAGTATGTGAAAAAAAGCGAAATTACAGAATAATTGAAAAGTTAAACTACCATGGGAATGATGCAGTTAAACATGCTAGAGTAATAAAATCAAAACATCCCAACTTGCAAACTTACATCTGGGATGATGCACTGGACTAGGACCAGCAGAAAAACCACCCATTGTCGTCGGTGGTTGCTTGGCATTCGCACTACTACTGGTAGCAGTGGCAGCAGGAGGATTTCGATTATTTAACCCATTGCGAAGTACATCAGCAAAATCTGCGAACGGATCAAGGCTATGACGACTACCGGTAGCTCCAGCGGCAGTATTATCTGAAGTTTCAGTATTTGGTGCCAAGTTAGAATAAGAAGTTGATGAGAACAATGGATTGATATTAGGTGGATTCAGATTACTAGCACTTGCACTTCCACTTAAATGACTAGTTGTTTGTTCAAAACAGTCATTAGTTGAATTACTTTTACTTTGTGTAGAAGGATTATGAAAACTTGATGTCGAGAAGAAATCAGATTCCAATTCAGATGTAGCTATTCCAAAAGGATCGAAAGGATTATTAGATGAGCCACTAGCAGCTGCACCACCACTACCACTGTGAGTAGTAGAAGGATTTTCTGACGGCTTTCTTAAAGCCTCCTCCCAAACAAGATCAATATTTGGATTATCATCAACAGTTGGAGAAAAAGTGAATAAATCGTCAACAAACAATTGTTTATCTGTTTTCCTTTCATTTATACCATTCTGATTCTTTGGTGTGCCGACACTGTCTCCAGCATTTTCATTGTTAGTTACAAAAGGATTTTGTGTCACATCAATTAGAACTGGATCGCCAACACTGTCTACGTTGGATGGTACAGAAGATTCTGTATGCAATCCCAGTAGGTCCACAAAATCCGACTCCTACAACAACAAAAATTAGCAAATATTGTGGAGATAACAGAAATGGAAAACAAGTGGATAGGATTACATTCAGTTTGTTATTAATAAAACGTATGCATTATCATTGCCATCATTGTAAGGAATGACTGGATTCAATATCACTAACGACGAACTGCAGTGATTATGGTTGATTGATTAGTTTGTAGTGTAATGGAGAGCAGATAAAATTTTACACTTAGTAATCACTTTGACTTTCATTAGCAGATGGCAGCTATTGAATTCAATGGATAAAACAACCAGTAAGCATTTTGCAAACTGTAAAATCAATCTCTGTTATACCTAGTTTTGGGTGATCCCAAGAAGGTTTTCTGTAATAGTCGTTCAGTGAATATTATTATTACAACTGTATTCTAGACGAAATGTCCTCACAATGTATATCATTCTCAGCGTAATTTACTGCATGATATTTCCTCTTCATTCAGAATCTTAAAGTGAGAGAGAAGTCTATGGTATATCATGTGATTCAAAGCGGTTCGATCCGAAGCATAGACTAATCCCTTATAATACTTTTCCGCCATCTCCAACACATGCGCACCAATAGTTAAAAGGTGGCTGAAAGCCAAAATTGTAGACAGCAATTTACGTCTACGTTACGTCCCGAATCCGGGTCATGAGAAAAACAATAACAAAGCTTAACCTTGAGGAACTCACCAACCAATCACTGAAGACTTAAAGTGTGCACATACGGTTCGCAGATATATGGCTTAACTTTCTGAGAAACGGACACAAGCAGTACAGAATAACCTTCAGCAAGAAAACAACCAATCAGAAGATGTTGCTTCTCCACTGACAATAATGTACATAAAAATCTATATCTATTGATTTTCTCAATAAACGATCTGTCGCCTGGCCCTTGTCTTCTGTCATTACAAATGTACGCGAGTACATTTGTCGACTTGAAGACACATTTGAACGGTTAAAAGAATAAGAACTGGTGTAAATATAAAGCATAGTGATGAATAAAAATTTAGGTAGTCCAGTGATCCAAGCAGGTAGTCTCCAAAATTACTAAATACAAACAACAATTATGCACTTACAAAGTTAGGTCGATCTTCTGACAACAATGAAGTGGTATTGTCAGAGGATTCATCCTTGAAAAATTGAACGTTGTTATTATTATGAACAGATGGTTTATGGGAATGATTAGGCGAAGTAGATGGATCTGTAGGTTTGACTTGGTTATCCTTAATTAAGTCTGGTACTAATAGGTCGTCATCAGCTGTAGCCTCTTGTTGGATATTACTCGAATTATCAGCAGTAGGTTGATATGCTGGCATCGACTTCTCAGGATTGACTTTTTCTTGTTGTGAATTGGATTGATTTTGTTCTAAATTATCTTTTCTCTGTGTTGAAACTGATGGCTTACGATTAAATCGTCCTATGAAAAGAAGAAAAGTGTGAGTTTATAATTAGTCAGATGATTATAAAGTAGTAAGGTGAATGAAAATTGTTCAATAACTGCATCACCTGAAAAAGGTTTAACAATAATCATCAAATAGGTAAAATGAAGATGAACTACAAAGTCCATCAGTGAAGTTTAAAGGTAAATACATGCTATAACAACACGATTCTGTGTAGAACCCGAAACCAAGCAGCGCCTAGAATACAACAATTGATGGACTACGCATGCTCATAATATACTAGTGATATTCAAGTTAAAACTTTCAATTATGCAAAGCATAATCAACTCGACCAACGACTGTCACGTAGAAATTGTAATCATACTTAGATACCACAATGACCTAACAAGCTACACCGGTTGGAAAGAATGTTCCAATAGGATTCACTTCCTATTCCAAAAAGTTTCGATGGTTAGGAGATACGACTACCCATACTTACTACAAAAAGATAATTTTCTTAAACTAGTATTCAGATATAGCAACAGTATTTTATTTCCCTCAAACATGCAACAAAGCGGTTATGGTGTCATAACGCTAAAGAGATGAACGAAGTTATAGGAAGCTACTGAAGAAAGTGTACATTCGAATCGACTCAACAGTGGTGGACTGTCAAGAGGCAGGTGTTTCTTACACACACAATTACAAATTTCATGATAATAGAACAGACCATGTGTGACTGATTACTAATCCTCTTTCGTTTTTATCTATCTGAAGCAATAGTTTTGTAGTGTGTGTATTCGGTGAATAACTACAGTGCATACGCTTTTGTGAGAATCCAATCACGCATTTATCTCCTTTATCTCCTTACTTTCCTGCTACTCCGACACATTTCCGTCACCTCTACTTAAGATTGTAGACAAATTCAACAAATTAACTCAGGCGGAAACTGTTTCTAGTCTTTAAAAACCATACCGAATCGAAACAGAAACATGACTGACTAAAACTCTGGTATCATCGATTTAGGACGTATGCTGTATCTTCGCTAATACACATCAACAGAAACCATGTGGTGTTACGCAAAATAACCTCAACTGGTTAACGTGGTGAATCTACAAAATTCACTTCAACGGTGTCAAGAGATTCATTGGCTAGTTCTCGTGAACTTGCTGGTGAATAGATAACATTAAGGTTGAGAGCTAAAACATAAAGTAGAAGTGGATACATCAATACATGAAGTGACTGACTTTTAGTAGGTGCATATTGCTCGATTGGCTATCCCCAGGATGATTACGTTACATGCAACTGAACCACTGATTCGTACAATATAAAACGATGTGATACCTTGTTATCAGATTCTGTTGATCAGTCTAAAGAAAGCTCAAAATCGAGTTTTCAAACATGCTGACATGCATATCGCCTAACAAATGAAGTGATTATATAATATGGACTCAAAAATTTCAAGCAAGACTGTTAGGAACCAAAAATCTAGGAGTAATCCCTTCCATGTTTTGCTTCCTTCGTTAGTAAACACCGAAAGACATCAGATAACGACGTGCAGGGATGACAGATTCATTCTCCCCGTTAGAATCCACTTGAGCATGATTCAAAACAGCTAGTTGGCGATAATACCTCTATTATAATTTCCTAGTGGCAGAAACGACTCCATACAAACATTTCTGTTCAAAAATATCCTACATAAAATCCAGTTAGGCTACACTGACACATATGACGTAGAAATAGAATATAATCCATATTTCAGTAAACAATGATGTAAAAGGAGTTCAATAAAATCTAAATAAATTAGTCAGAACTGTTCAATGTTGTACACCATAACATGACTTTATCAAAGCATATTGCAGACTCATTCCAACAACTTACCGAAATCAGATAATATACTGGTCAACTCTTGTGAAGTGGATACACATAATTCAGGTCGTAATGCGTCTTCTGAAGGCAATGTTTCCCATGGATACACGAGATTATCACTTTGTCTTGGGCGTTCAGTAGGCGAGACCATGAACTCCAGTGTGACATGAAAACTCTCAGCATAACGACTAGTGAAACCAGCAAAACTGCTACTATTGTCAAGATGATCCAAATCTGACCTGTTAACCGAAATGATAAAATAAGTAAGCTTCACATACATACACGTAGTTTGATATCCTAATTGAATGCACGCAAATGTAGACAGGCAGGGACATGTACCTCTGAAAAACACGATTCATTGAGAAATATTCCACTATTCTGTTTAATCCAAACGAATATGACAAACAGGTGTATGACAAAACTTATAAATCAACGTGTATTCACTTTCAACTACAGATTTTAAAATAATTAGTCCCTTTAATAAATTTGCACAGTGTTTTTACAAAACGGAGATTATCTATAAAATGTGGTGTATTTGCGCAATACATTTCGAACAATCTGATCACACATTTACTTATCCAGTCAATTTATATGAAAAATAAAGGTCAATTAAAATAAACAAAGTGACAAAAAGGACTTAGGAATGATAAGAATATAGTCAGATAAGGATTACCAAGAGTGATAATAGACTGTTTTTGTACACAGAGGAGGAGGGAGAGGGTTGCTTAAGTTTACGAATAGCTATCACCTGTGAGTATTTCGATAAGCGCCCTTGACCGTTTTTATAAACAACTTTAAAAGTTGTTTTGACACCAGTCTTATGGTTCATATCGATTAAGTGTTTAGTCATGGACGAAGTTGGTAGTCTGTTACCTGTGTCAATCGATTTTTCAAAGTTCATCTGTTTTTCTAACCATTTCGGGATATGCTCTCCCACCTTAACATGCAAAGTGCGACCGCTCCTCCCTATGTATGCGCTTCCACACATACACACACACACACGTAGATTGGTAAATAATGTAGAATGAGATACAAGCACTTGTGCACTTTTGAGGTTTGTAGCGGAGCGTGTTTTCGGCCTTCTCAATAACAATAAGCCATGCTACACAATAGGTTCGATGGATGACCGAATTCAATCTGTCTTAAAATCCTACTACAATCATAGTTATTAATGACGTTCACAACATTTACCACATTACTATTATTATTACTATTATTTGGTCCACGAAATCACCATCATTGTTTAAAATTCTTACACATGAATCTATGTAAATTAGAGTAAAGGCTGAAGATCTAATTGAAAACAATATTGTTCGCTTATATGTCTTGTTCTAATTTCCCATTGTATGACAATTGAATTTATTGAAATACGCACAGGTGATGGCTTTTCGTAAACTTAAGCAATCCCCATTCCTCTGTGTACAAAAACAATCTATTATTACACTTAATCTAACTTGGTAATCTTTGCCTGATTATATAACAAGACATAGTGTTAATTATTCTTATTAATCTTAAATCCTTTTTGTCACTTTGTGTATTTTAATTGGCCTGATCTATACAATAAGTGTAAGTATGTACATCTAAAACAGAAATCATAACAGTTGCTGAAATATCTCTGCTTCAACTGTGATGGACTTCCCCGTCGCATCTTACATCCATCTTTTAAGCATTTAATCAATACAAGTCGCAAGGGAAGTTCACAAAACCGTAAATTTCGAGGATATACACGAAGAAAGAAATATATACTCCTGCCCAGAGTACAGGTATTACACTTTCTTATTTAATGCTGCTCTCAATTACAGTTGCATACGCACATATATCTAAAAACGCGAACTTGTATCATGTCAATCACATTCACGTTAATATGTAGGCAAATGAGCAGAGATGGAGCTATCTGAAATCTCTACGATATGATCACAATGTAAGCATATTTGTATTATATTGAAGTTGTACAAATGTGATTGCTATATATTACTGGATAAATAACTTATAAGCAAAGCACAGGATGTGTACCTGTGATTGAACAACCAACAACAAGAATCAACATGCAACTTAAAAAGTGTTGAATGAAAGAATTATTATCGGATGATAGAAACAGACATTAAAAAAACAATTGTTATTAAAAATAATAATCTATTTAGTTGCCTGATTTTCTTAACTGAAACAAATGTGTTGTTCTTATATAACTGTACGATAATGTACAGCGAAAACACACACACACACACAGAAAAACAAGAACTTTTTACAATTTCCAAACGAAACTAATGCTACCACCTACGCCAAAAAACTATGCATATATGACGCTCATTACTCTCAAATCAATGTGTAGATTTACTGCAACCAGCAAAAAGACGCCAATTTTGACACCAATATCAAGTTAGTGCTTCTATATGGTTCAAAGATTTGGCGCATCACCAGAAGCATTTCCAACAACCTGCTGCAGACTTTCATCAACATCTGCCTACTCTCTGTGCTAAACAGATCAGATGGCCAGCCAGAAAGGATAATTGGTAAGAAACTGTGTCGCCTAAGGAACTAACCAAGAACCTATGACTAAACAAATATGCAGAAGAAAGTGGAGATGGATTAGACGAACTCAGGGGAGACTGTCGAGTGACATCATGCGCTAAGTTATTGAGTAGAATCTAAATAGAAAACGATGAGTTGGCTATCTGAGGGTGAGATATGGAAACTGTGTGATAATGAAATGAAAGCTTATGGGCGATTATGGAGCCAGATAAAAGTAACTGCACAGAACAAAATGAAATGCAGATATGCTGTTTAAGCAAAATGTTCCACTCGGAACCTAAGGGAATAACAATAATAATGATACCAATGCATATACACCATAAAAATCATTGATAATTTTTATCAATATGCAATCGCTAGAATTATGTAAATATAACTGTACAGCATACATCAGGTGGGTGGAACTTTAAACACCCACAGATAAATGGAGACAAACTGACTACCGCGTTACACTTCACAGAAGCAGATCAGTTCTTTTTACTACACCATAAAATGACGAACAAAAGAATGGAGAGAAATAGGACAACAGCAAAAGGAAAGAAGCGTGGAAGATGATTTTTTAAAAGGTAAAAAATAAATTTAAGACCCACTCATCAATAGCTTCACAATATAATAAGGCTGAATATTAGGAGAATACATATTACCGGAATTGAATCACTCAGAAACATATATTTTATGCCAACAGTGCATTATTGGACAGAATTTGTTTTATTTATACATATGACATGCTGTATAAATCTCTAGTTAAAATTACTCATGGAGTAATCAAAACAAGCATTATTGTAATTATTTAATAACATACAATATGGAAGCAACCAAACCGTGTGAAAGGAAAAAAAGCCAACAATCTCTCCCGATACCTCTATTCTCGGCTATCTCTAATTCAAAGTGTTAAAACCTAGAAATTAATTTAAAATATATAAAATAAAACGTCAGTCTTCATACAATTGAAACCACTTTCGCTCGACAGTCGAATATTTCAATTATAGACTTAAGGTTAAGTATCTCAAAGACAATTCATAAAAATAACTGGTAACAACATCATGCACCCTAAGAGCTCGGTATCACTAAGGCTAGAAATAAGTTTAGGATTAAGACTCTCTTCAATTAATTCCTCGTCACCGACAGACATAAGATTAGAGAATCTGTCAAAATAAAAGGTGTCATAAGCAGTTGTTATGCCCCAGTGAGCACTCATTTACCCATAAAGAATGAGGACAAGGCCACTCAGTATACACGCAGGTTTACTGTTCAGCTGGTAAGTTGGAATTTAGGGGACAATGGCAAAATCTATATTGCAGTTCGTCAAGTTTATCAATAAATGTCTCCTCCAACACTAGTACAGTTTACTGAATACTACAAGTGAACTAACAACACCCGTTATTCCTTTTTTCTTTAAAAAAACACATTCCCAAATATCAAGTGATTTCTGAACTAAATACTATTTTGAGGAATTATTGTTAGCGTAAATCAACACCAAAAAGAAAAAATAGTAATAACTCACTTAAAGTAGATTAATTCAGTGAGGTTATGTTCAACAAATCCGGTGTACAACTGAAACTGAGCTATCTTTACTGACCTAATCTATAACAGTTTAAAGGCAGGAAAAAAGTAATAGTGAAATAATAATAATAAGACAAAGGTCAACTAAAAAGAAATATATTGCGTGACTGTACGTATATACGGCTCAGACTCAAATCCAACTGAGCTCACGTGTTGTGGTTCGGACACCATCTGCGACAACGCCACACACACACACACACACACACACAATAGAATACATAGTGGATGAGTATGCATGAAATAATGCCCTAGATACACAAAGTGATGCAAGTTTACAAGTACATCAGCTAACTTACTGTTTCTTATACATATCACTAGGCTTAGAGTCTTTGCAGTGTAGGCTAAGTAATATAAGTATTACACAATCCATCAGACACAGTTCTGCTGTTCACTTTGAAGAAAATTCAAAGATGAATTGCTTGTAAGTTAGAACCGCAATAACAACAAATCAAATCATCAAATAAATACAACGAACGGTGGCAGCGATATCATGAAAGTATTATCCACATGGAAACCACTAGGTATTAGGAGTGACCCTTAATTTTATTCTATTCTACATTTTATTATCAACCGACCTTGCACACCAAAAAAACACATACACGCTTTGTTTTATCTTAAGATTGATCTATAGGAATTCGGTAACAAAATGTGTACCAATAGAGTAAAGTAGAAATACTGCATAGACACAACAAACAATTTTCAATAACCGGTGCAACTTTGCACTACCAAGTATCGACGGAAATCGACTGACATAATATGTGAGCAGTGAGTATAATTCGGCTAATCATTGTAATTCGATATTAAACAGCATGAAAAATAAGGGCAAGGAAACCAGTTTCTTCCATGTTTCAGATATGCCTTGCTTATAAGCATTAATTAGGTTCGGTAAGAGAAACAGAATTTAGACGAATTGCGAAAATGAAGACATTATTACAATTTTCGAAGTCTTCCCAGACGCCTTTATACTGTCTCTAAGTCGTAATTACTTGATGGATAATAATTCATTATAACACTCCATTATTAACTCGATATCTTGGTACCTAATGACGATATCATGCTGAAAATTCCACACTTGTACTGAAAATACGGTGTGGAATCAAGCTGTAAATCAAAAATAAATCAATAAAAATAATTGTATCCTGCAGGATACAATGATTAGCAATCGCGTTTTTTATACTACTACATTATAAATTCGCAACAACGGACCACAAAGAATGAGATTACACAGCATTCCAGAAGAAAAATGCTAACGAAAATAAAAGAGATATACCTTTCCACTTCCGGCAAACGAAGATCGACAATGATAAATTATAACCGTAAGATCACCCAAAACTGTCAATCCATTCAACAGTATCTCAATCTTTCCATCTTCAAGAACATATGGTCTGATAAATAATAAAGATAAGGAAAAGACAAAATTAATGGAATTCATGATGATCAACATAGAGTGTATTTCATGTTTCCATCTATTACGTAGGTTTGAAAAACCAGACACAGTATGGAATGAGGCATCAGGTAGACAGCTTATCAAAATAGTTATCAGTAGTACTGCCTGAGGTGAAACTGATTACTCAATCCTAGGCAAATGGTAATAGTTTCACATCTGAAACTTATTTGTTACATCTCGGGCGCTTAGTAAAACCCTGAACTAAAACACCAAAAAGCCTTAGTAAGCGGGTATAATGTGGGGAGACTAAGGTATGCATCAAATACATAAGCACTGATAATAATGCTGACCAGCTCACAGACAATGTATGCGTTGAAAGTGCGACCCGACTGATATCAGTTCACTTCGCTAATAAGCCACAACCTATCTTAATCTACATAAACAAACACCTATGAAATGCAGTCTCTAGTAACTCATTACACATGTTTATAAATTCTACGCACTTCAAGACTCCCTTGTAGTTTCAACACATACTCAAAGTTTTGTGATGACGATTTTCGCGCAGCATGTATTTATGGAAACCACAACTCACTGATTAAGAAAATCCTCTGTGAGTTTAATTTCCCTTCCAATGTGGATAGAGTAAATGCTGAAAAAATGACACTTAAATTGTGAAAAAGCGCATTGTGTGTTATCAAGTGCTGGTTACTAGGGATTTGATTGGTTACAGATTTGATCACAAGTTGGCATGAGCTGGAGAACCCTTGGAAAACCTGTGAGTGCTGAACAGTTGATTCGTCCCAGTTTGGGAAATTTCATCAGTACACACCCACTGGGGTTAGAACTCAGGAGTTTCCGGTTACAAAGTGAGTTTGTAGACCACTCAGCCACTGGTACCTGTAACTAAGCGAATCCCTGCAAATCAACACTTTAGAATTAATCTGATGCTCATATTGTATGTATATATTATTCGCAAAGCGAGCAATCAACTAATTCTTTTGTGTCTTCCCGGTAAACCTTAATATAGGTCTACCACGCATTTACGGTTATATATTCCTAATAGTTAGAGAATAGCTTTTATCGACAACACTAATGTTTTTTTTTAAATAACACCAAAGTATAGAATGTTTTTTTAATAATAACAATGAATATCACTCACTGCCCGAATTTTTTTTTAAACTAATGAATATCGCTCAATTCCTTATTATTACACTTGAACAAGGAACTCTCGTGCTTCAATAGTTATTCATACACCCTTACCACCCCATTTTCTCTCGCTGTTTTTAATAATACCATTCATGAATATGAAATCTATAATCAGTATGAATTAGATTCAGTGTGAACAGTGATCACGAACACTCAATACTGTATTTGCATCGTTAGTCATGATCACTAGTTTTTGAAATCTGATATTTAATGTAGTGTTTCTATTTAAGTATATTGTCACATGTACATGCTTTAAACCATGATATATTAGCACTCTATTCGTGTATACCTCTCGGAATTTTGATGTCTACGACTCGAAGTTATGTTTAAAAAAAATGTTATTATGGATATATAACTGTCAACCTACAGTTGTCCCGATGAAGAGAAGTTATCAGAAAGTATGTTCTTCGTTGTAAAAAATATTGACCAATGACATCTGAGGCTGAATTATCCCTTCTTTACTTTTATTTCCAGTATTATTATCGACCTCTTAGGTCCCAAGTGAAACATAAGTCTTCAACAGAACACCTCCATTTCACCTAGTTTTCTGGAATCATCTTTCGCCAGCTCCACAACTGCCCTAAGGTTCTCATTTCCGCCTCGCGCGATCTTCTTCATGTCAACCTACGACGCTCAACTCGTCGTTTCAGTTGAGAGGGCATGAAATGTGGTGTCACTCAACGGTCTCCTTATCGTGAGTCTCATATTCCCAATAAAATGTAAATATAAAGCACAGAGTAAAGTTAATTACCTTAGATTGTCATAATCTGTATAAGTTGAACACACCATAGTTTTCCCTTCAAATATCTCCACGTACGGACGACATCCATTCCTAAAAAAAATTAAAAAAGGAATAATGGGTACTGAAATCATTTCAACAAAGATACAAGATAAATTGCAACTAGAGAATAAAGTAACCTCACCTAGATTACTAGGTCACTAGTATTCTAGCCGGTCCCAAGCCCGGATAAAGAGGCAGGGTTGGGGCGTGGTGCTAGCAACTCCACCACCAAAACTTAACCAAATTGCTACTAAAACTTCAACGCACAAATATATTCAAAATTCTAAAAATACAAACAATAACCTTATTTTTCGCTGGAATCGGGGAAGTGAAATGACGCAGGCTGGTGAAAGCCTTCGGGAAGCCAGTCAGCCGATGTGCTTTCTTTCGATGAAAGCAAAAATAAGGATGGGGACATGGAACATTCGTACAATGTACGAAACTGGAAAGGCTGCCCAGGTAGCCTCAGAAATGAGGAGATATAAAATAGAAGTGTTGGGAATCTGCGAGAGCAGATGGAACGGATGTGGAAGGTGCCAACTATCAACTGGAGAGACAATAATCTACTCCGGTCACCCAGAGGACGATCACGAGCACACCGAGGGAGTAGCCATCATGATGTCACCAACAGCGGCTAAGGCTCTCATGCAGTGGGAACCAATCTCCTCCAGGATAATGACAGCCAGGTTCAACTCAAAAGGAAGGGAGGTTACAATAATTCAATGCTACGCGCCTACAAACGTGAAGAAGAGTGTCAGGAAGGATAAAAGACAGTTCTACGACAACCTGGCTACTGAGGCTGAGAAGGCAGCAGGCAAAAGGGACCTGAGGACACTATATCAGATAACCAAGTCTCTATCCGGGAAGAGATCAACACAAGTGAAACCTATAAAAGACAGCCAAGGGAACCCAATTACCAAGGAAGAAAGACAGATTAAACAATGGGCGGATCACTTCAAAGGACTCTTGAACCGACCACCACCTACAACCCGTCCAGAAATACCAACAACAGCACGTACACAACTGCAAGTTGACACCAATCCCCCAACGAAAACTGAAGTCTTGAATGCAATCAAGCTTCTGAAAGCTGGAAAAGCAGCTGGACCAGATGGAATACCCCCGGAAGCACTGAAAGCGGATCCAGAAACGACAGCAGATATGCTGACTCCATTATTGCAAAAGATCTGGAAAGATGGAAAGGTGCCTACTGACTGGAGGAAAGGTTACCTGGTGAAACTACCAAAGAAGGGCGACCTGGGACTCTGCAAGAACTGGCGAGGAATCATGCTCCTGTCGACGCCAAGTAAAATCCTGAGTCGCATCATCCTGGAGAGAATCAAGGACGCACTGGATGCAGAATTCCGACCAGAACAAGCTGGATTCAGGAAAGGCAAGTCATGTTCTGACCAAATTGCAACTCTACGCATCATCATCGAACAAAGCATGGAATGGCAATCAAACCTCTACCTCAACTTTATAGACTTTGAGAAGGCCTTCGACAGCGTTGACCGCGAAGTAATTTGGAAACTACTCAAGTACTACGGCGTACCCCAAATATTCATCAACCTTATTCAACAGCTGTACGACAACGGCACATGTCAAGTGATCCACAACGGAAAACTCAGCGAAGCGTTTGGAGTAAACACAGGAGTCAGACAAGGGTGCTAGCCTATTATCACCAATGATATTCCTAATTGTGGTGGACTGGATTATGCGTCAGACAGTCGGAAACGAGAAGACAGGGATATCCTGGACCGACGTGAAGAACCTAGAAGACCTGGATTTCGCGCGTGGATGATTTATGTTTGATGTCACACAAGATCGAAGACTTACAAGCAAAAACCGACAAACTGGTCGAAGAAGCAGCAAAGACAGGACTCCAGGTGAACATAGACAAGACGAGGGTTTATGAAAATAACCAACCAACAACAACAACAACAGCAACATCCAGCGCCAATCACCATCAACGGGAGGGATTTGAAAGAGGTTACTTCTTTCACTTATCTAGGGAGCATTGTCTCAACTACAGGAGGAACGGACGAGGATAACAAATCGAGAATCGGGAAGGCGAGAAACACATTCATCAACCTGAAACCAATCTGGAAATCTTCGTCACTCAGCCTGGATCAACAACAAAATTCGGATTTTCAATACAAACGTCAAGTCAGTCAGTAATTCTATATGGATCAGAAACTTGGCGGGTCACAAAGAATGAGCATTTCCAACAGCCTGTTGCAGACCTTTATCAACAACTGTCTTCGTTCTATACTGAAGATCAGATGGCCGGAAAGAATCACAAACAAGAAGCTATGGGAACAAACGAAACAGGAACCAATCGCTCAACAAATATGCAGGAGAAAGTGGAGATGGATTGGACACTCGATGAGGAGGCCGTTGGGTGACATCGCGCGTCACGCCATAGCTCGAGTGGAACCCGAAAGGGAAGCGGCGAGTGGGACGTCCAAGGGTGACATGGAGGAGATTGTGTGAAGAGGAGTTGAAACAGTATTGACTAACATGGATGCAGGTGAAAAGTACAGCAGAAGATAGAAACAAGTGGAGACGTGCAGTTGAAGCCCTATGTTCCACTAGGAACCCAAGGGAACAGTAATAATAACAATAGAGAATAAAGTGACACAATAGAACCCTGATCTGCAACAAACAGAAAAGGGTATCGACAATTCCCAAGAACGCATAATCATCCCCTAAAGTGTGACATCACATTTCACAGTTGATTCTATGTTATACGTATACAGAAAGCCTAGGAATAATGTACATGGAAACATGAACAGTCAATACCGATTAAGTTTCAGTGTAAACTTTAAACGAAAGTGCAGCGCTTCAAATTGCCACTTTCCATATAGCAAACAAAGCTAGACGAAAGTAAAAAAAACAGATAAATTAAAAGAACTGTAATGAGCAGACATAGACAGGAGAAAGAATAGCAATATGGAAAATAATGAGGATCTAGGCGAATATAAAGAACAAATGCATCTGTACCAGTTTTTGGGCTATATGACCAACAATCTCAAACGATTGGTTCTCGGAATTCCGACACGAGACAAGCGGTAATATGGTTTGGATTATGACAAGTGCCAATACATCGACTGTTGTCTGTACTGTTTTCCTATTGAATTGAGAAGTAATTTTCCTACCTAGCACTGACTAGAGCTTGTACTGAGAAGCATGCATAAACAAACAAGGATTTCAGTGATCATTTCTTACTAAAACAATAGTGAGACTCCAGGCAGATAGTGAGACAGTGTCAAAAAGTATCAGTAATACGGCGATGACACAACACATTGCTTGACTATTGAGGTACATTAGAATACGGATAAAAAAACTCGTTATCTCAAGTCTTTTGAATGAATTAGGAATAAAATAAGTTTCTTTATTCTTACAGTAAAACAGACAAGGTAAAATTAAACATTATCACATAGATATGACTGAACAATAGAATTACGATAATACATAAAGTTAATACGTGTATACATTAGGTGTATAAATGTTGTATCATATGAAGGTTATCTCCCTAGATATGCATACAGAAGAGTACAGTAACACAGAGAAAAGTCCTAACTAAATTCACAGTAATGGTTAACATGTCAACACTACCTTAACAGAATACTTTCCACAATAAAATACATCACACTCTACTACATACGTACATACAGTTTCACCAAAAAATCTCATTTATCAGCAAAGATATTAATTATTTAAAATCTTCAAGGAATCAGTAAATACCAAAGACAGACAAATATACAACCTTCAGTAGAAGTGCCCTGGTTTAAACAAACTACACTTAACACAATAGCCAAATTAAAACAGGCATTAAACAAAAACAGTGAAAAATTAAGTGAAGATTGGTGAAAATGTTCAAAATTAATAGATAAATTGTGCAAGTACGTCTGCGAAATCTATTCATTTTGCCCTCACACGATCTCATCCCTGTCACCCTCGAACAGCTAATTCGTCGTTTCCCATTCAAGGCATGGTATATTATGTCACTCGACGGTCTCCTTAGCGTGTCTGACACATATCCATTTTCTTCGGCATATCTGTTGGGCGATAAGCTCTTAGTTAGTTCGTTGTCTGACAGAATTCCTTGTTGCTTATCCTTTTTCTGGTCGGCTATCTGTGTGGCAGCTGTTGATGACAGTCTGCAACAGGCTGTTGGAAATATTTCTCGTGATAAACCAAGTCCCTGAATCATATATTTATAAAAGATTGAGATCTTTTTCTTTGTTCTGAGTGCAGTACATTTATAGATTCATTTCTGAGTGATGAACACCTACCTGTCTTGCTTTCTCGATCCGATATGATAGATAAGTAACAAAAATTTCAACTTAAAAACATGTTCCTAATTACCACTGTTCAATCAAGGGGAAATAGCGTTGGCTAGCAACGGTAAGCCACTACCTGCTACAACTCTTTAAAATACTGTCAAGAGATGAATCAAAACATAATAATAGAGACAAAGCAAAGAAGTTAAATCGTCATTCAAAACAAGCACGGTACTTGAGAAAAGATGACGAGAAAATTTCAAATGTTACACCTGTGTTTGTTGAAATGTATAACCATTTCAAAGACCCCCGCATCTAATCATATTATTTAGGAAAAGATAAATTCACTACAGGGCTTTACATTTAATAGTATTTATAACACCTAAATTATATTGAATGAACAGATATCACTAGCTTCTCCACTTTAGAAAAAATGGTGTTACAATGAAATACTTAAATGCAGGAAAGCTGGACATAATTACTACTACTATCTACTATAAATTTTCTCAGACTAATGAATACTGGAGTTGAAATGGAATCAATTTATTCTGCTTACAAACTACGACAACTAGTGAGTATCTTTTTGTAAAGAAAATAAATATAGAACACAGGGTAGAATTGTGTTGGTTAGATTGAACAATAGCTAAAACCAGCATGCAAATGTTATACCTTCTCTAAGAAAACCTTACAATTCTTCATATTCAAATTACCGGTACACAAAGACAGAATGACGACAATACTTTTAATAATTGCATAGTTATGACTATG